CCTGTCCTGTTGTCCTGTGTGCTTGTTCACGCCATTGTAATACACTGGTAGTTGAGCACAATGTTGTAGCGTAAGTTTGGCGGCGGAATCTCATCTCTCCTTTGCTTTTGTCGTACTGAGTCTGCAGTCCCACCACTATTCACACCTTGCTTTCAGGCACATAATTGGGTATTTTGTGTGTGTGTGTGTGTGTGTGTGTGTGTGTGTATGTGTGTGTGTGTGTGTATGTTTGTGTGTGTGTGTGTGTGTGTGTGTGTGTGTGTGTGTGTATGTGTGTGTGTGTGTGTGTGTGTGGTACAAGGTGTTTGTGTGGTACATGGTGTGTGTGTGTGGTACATGGTGTGTGTGTGTGGTACATGGTGTGTGTGTGTGTGTAGTGCATGGTGTGTGTGTGTGGTACATGGTGTGTGTGTGTGTGTGTGGTACATGGTGTGTGTGTGTGTGTGGTACATCATGGTGTGTGTGTGTGGTACATGGTGTGTGTGTGTGGTACATGGTGTGTGTGTGTGGTACATGGTGTGTGTGTGTGTGTGTGTGTGTGTGTGTGTGGTACATGTGTGTGTGTGTGTGTGTGTGTGTGTGTGTGTGTGTGTGTGTGTGTGTGTGTGTGTGTGTGTGTGTGTGTGTGTGTGTGTGTGTGTGTGTGTGTGTGTGTGTGTGTGTGTGTGTGTGTGTGGTACATGGTTTGTGTGTGTGTGGTACATGGTGTGTGTGTGTGGTACATGGTGTGTGTGTGTGTGTGTGGTACATGGTGTGTGTGTGTGTGTGTGTGTGTGTGGTACATGGTGTGTGTGTGTGTGGTACATGTGAAGGATGGTGCAATTTGATCACGTATGGTGTACATGTACAATGTAGCTTCGTTCCACTTTGTCTTGCCTGTTAACAGTGTTATACATGTATATGTATATGTATATGTATATGTATATGTAAATGTATATGTATATGTATATGTATATGTATATGTATATGTATATGTATATGTATATGTATATGTACATGAACATGTATATGTAGGTCTACCTCACTTGGTTTTCTCCTCAATCCTGATGATGGCTCCTGGCCGAAAATTTCATTGAGAGTTATTGTAATTTGCAGCGAAGAGACCACTTGGATTGAAGATGGTGTGTGTGTGTGTGTGTGTGTGTGTGTGTGTGTGTGTGTGTGTGTGTGTGTGTGTGTGTGTGTGTGTGTGTGTGTGTGTGTGTGTGTGTGTGTGTGTGTGTGTGTGTAAGGTTTTCCATGCAGTTATCAAGTAACTTTCGTCATAAAGTTACATTAATTGCACTCTTGATATGGCAATAAGTAGGACGAGCTGAAGTGACATTTGGATGGTGACTTTATTGCACAATGTACATGTAAGTGATGGGGACGATGCAAAAACAATCTAAAGGGTGAGGAAAATACATGTACAAGTAAGAAGAAAAAGCGATGGAAAAAAGATGATTCGAACAAGTTTTCGTATAACACTCTTCTGGAATCACCGTTGTACGTACTAAAGAACAAAATGAGAACAAAGGAAATAATAATAGCAATCATTGGCAAGGTAGGATAGCAGGATACAATGACAGCACTAGGGTCCAGCGGATAATGCTCCGAAAATGTTCGTATAATGCTTATCATGATGCCCCAAAAACTACCTTGCAATGCTGATTGTAATGCTTCAACAGGGCTATAATGCTCTTGGTTTGGAACAAAATGGAAGAAAGGCTGCACATTGTCAAACTTCCAGGAAAGGATGCATTTAGTCGATCCGCCTCTGAAGCTGCTACAATATCTCTTATGAGCTCCACCACTTCTTAGCACTATAAGACATGATTGTGCCTCCATTGGCTGCTCTCCATTGCAACTTTGATGCAGGGCTGTGCCTGAATAGTGGGTGTATCAAATCTTTTCCCTTGCTTATCCATGTGAGAGGTGAGAGGTGAAACCATTATTGCTGGTGATCATTTGGATACTGGAAGCATATCATGGGAAGTGATATTCCTGCCTAGCTTGCAGACAAGCTGTCACTGCTTCCACTCTGTGAAAAATGTCTTCATCTGAATGAAACAGCTCACGTGAGGCCAGTTTCTGGGAGACGATCTCAGATCGAGATCCCTCCCACCTGCGGAAATCCTGAAAACACGTGGTCAGAAGATATTTTGCCGCTCTATACAGTTTCAGTAGTATCCTCTGCTTGCCGGCTGTCTTCAAGCTTCTCCTGATTACAATCGTCCACGACGAACTGTACGTGCTTCACCAGGAAAGTAAGACACGCGCTGCTGTCAGTGCTGAGCACTCAAATCGTCTTGGTTCTGCGTCTATGAGAAATTCTAGTTCTTTTCGAGCCTGCTGAGCTGGACTCGGCAAAGGCAGTTATTTGGAACAAGCTCAGGCTTTCTTTTTATAGCCGCTCCTTCATCCAGGTCCAAATTTATCAATGGATCAATGTTTAATTCAGTGTCGCTAGAGATGCTATGGCCAGAGCCTATGGCATAACAGGAAATCTCCTCTTCGTCTGTTTGATATTCCCTTCACGTACTATGTACATGTACGTCAGGTCTAGTCTCCTCCATGGCTAGCTCTAAATGATTTCTAAAAAAGAACTCGTAAATCATCGTTACGGATTTTGTGACGGATTTTGTGTAACAGCCTCAGTTGCAACGTTGGGTATGCTACATCACCTGTACATTTACCTAACTACACTGCTACATAAAGACTTTATGTGTGTAATTCGGAGAAAAAAACGATACTTTACAAGTGTTGTAGAAGCAAATTCGTCCCATCAACACCATTCCACTCTCCTTCATCGCGGAACGCTCAAATGTTTTCGAGGCGATTCAAACTTCAGCCGGCTACTTCATTATAAAAATGCTCATTCGCTCAAAGAGCACGCAAAAAAGGGATTTCCTCCCAAAATGGCGAAGAGATCGATCAAAAAATTTGATTTTGCCGAGGTAAGAACACTTGAATACGGCGCGCGATATATCTGGATAGGAGTCCGACATCGAAACGATTCACGCTTTCAGCGATTGTTGTATTGGACAGCTTGGCGTTTTGCGCCATCAGAACTACAATGTACCTCCGCCATCATCCATACCTGGCCGCTCCCGCTGAATCACGTACACTAGAACTAAAGTGGAAGCTTCGAAGAAAGATCGACAAATATCACTTTTTCTCGAAATAGCCATACATGTACATGTGTGTACGGTGAAGTTTACATGCAGTTTCGGATTAGGAGGAGAGAAGCCTAGTAATAGTAATATACCGTACTGGCAATATATAATTATGGTCGCAGTGAGGCCATGAAGCGTTACATTGGCACATGTTTACCGCACGCAGGGCGTTACATGCAAAGTCGCACAGGAGCCGTTACACAGGTTTCTATATTGCCGCAGTCCTTTTTTTGCTATTGCCGCATCACTTTTTTGCTATTGCCGCATCATTTTTTTGCTATTGGGCCATCCAGAATTAATTCGTTGTTTCGGGTCACCCGACCGATCGTCTTTTTTCACCCGACCGCAAAATATTTTTTTTTAAAGTGCATGCAAATGCACAGACTAGACTGTACACACGCGACCCTAATAATAGCAGTCCAGATATCGACCTCGGAAGCAGCCATGGCTAGCCAAATGGCAGGATGCAGCGCTTGGTGACGACGTTGTCTTCTATCTCCGATCCGCAATCGGTCCTGAAACAGCATCAGCTCCGCCACCTTGTCGCTATTTACAGAAGTTTTCAAGGTGAGAGCTGCTCGCTGGTCAGACTCGTTTGCCAGCGAGGCCAAGATCTGGTCCTGGAGGGGACCTGGATCTGATGGGACAATGACTGCCCTGGACTGTATACTACAACGGAATCTACAGTCAGATTTGATCGACTGGCTAGATGGACAAAAGCTATTCGATGTACATGTACATGGACGTAACCAAAATAAAAAATAAAATAAAATAAAAAAATAAACCCGACCGACCGACCGACCCTGGTACGCATAAGTGAAGTGACCCGAAACAACGAATTAATTCTAGGTGGCCTTGCCGCATCATTTTTTGCAAACAATGAAAAGATCGCCGCACCCCGGCCCCGCCGGACGCGCGTTACGAACGCAACGAAAATTTGTCGCACTAGCCTGGTCGCGCGTTACGCCGCACCCCCTTGCGTTACGCGTTACGCGGCAACATATAATTGCCAGTACGGTATAATTATAAGGTAGCTGACTAGTACACGGACTACGTGGCTTGCAACAATTATGTAGCATTTTGACCGGCGCAACAACACCTCATTGTTGCGAGATGTTCGCCATTATAAGCATGCCATGTTGAACTACGGGTACATAATAGAGTGTAGGAGTGCTGGATATACTACATGTACAATGACGTCATGCATGTAGCTAGATTAAAGTAAAGTAAGTAAATATTATCGTTTCCGTTCCCGAAGGGAACTCACACGTAGATGGGAATATTATTATAATGATGGAGACCATGATTAAGATGACGCTGGAGACACCACGCCACAGACGGCAGCGGACTGCGCGCATGCATGCGCGTGTGGCCAGTTTTCTTTTCGCTCGTCTGCTAGTTCAGTAGTTGGCATCAAAAGCACCCATAATATTTTAAATGCCAGTTTGACACAAGCATAATACTTACATGTATAATGCTAGCATTACAACCATTAGCCGCCGATGCCTAGAACTATACTAGCATGTCACAAGGTGAAAGGTCACTGTTTCCGAACACCGTGTCCTCCACTTTGTTACATGCTGTCAACCAACACCATACATACATGTACATAACACATGATTGTAGTTTGTGCATGAAGTGTGTGGGCACAGACTGACAGTAGGGTTGCATCCCACCAGCCTGTGTAGTGTCACGGGAAGCGTGAGTTTTGAAGTCTGAAGAGAATCATGAGTCAAAGACCGACTCTGCTGGGAGTGGGATGACAGTTACGCTAGTTCAGTGGTTAGAGCACTGCTGGTCTCAAGCCCTGCATGCTTCAAGTCCTGGTGGTGACAGTGGATTTTTCTTCTGAGATTTTTCCTGTTCTCGGCACCATCAAGTAATGTCCTAATGAAAACAGTAGTAACGAAAACTGCTATATGGGTGGTTAGAATTAGAACACCATGGCCGGACTTCAAGCACCCAGGTATACCGTTAGAAATACAACACTTTCCAGAGGCTATGTGTCATGTGAATGTATAAAAAGAAGGTCTTTCGTTTGTCTTTCGTTTGTGTTCTCTATTGGTCCTGCAGTGCTACCGCCCGTCCTAGTGCCCCGGTTTTCCGACCGTCCGCCTTCTCATCGGGTGACTGGCTCGGGACCTCAGGCACTCTCCCTACCCAGCAATGACCAGGCACCTGGTGCCTCTCCGGCGCATAATGCACCCACAGCTTTTGGTGCTCCAGGTATGGCATGATTACTGTAATATCCCAAATATTGTAAATCTGAACCAATTCCATTATTTTGTTAAAGGATGGCAATAAGCAGAATCAGCTGACGCACCGGATGATGTCATATCACGGCTTCCATAATTAAACAACGTTTCGGCACATGGCCATCATCAGGTAACTGAACAATCGGATACTCTGCCAGCTACATGTACATGTACTAAGGATAAGGTTATACATGTATACAGGGCATTCCGACAAAACGGTGTAAGTCCTCTCGCTCCAAAGGAGGGAAGAAGTGTCAATGGCAGCCCACACCACAGCACAGGTGAGAAGACCAAGGTGCTGCTATACAGCCAAGATGAAGCCCATGCATACCGAGGCGAGAAGGTCAAACAAGTGTCACGTCAGGTAGCATCAAGATATACATCCATGCAAAGGTGAGAAGACAAATGTGTTACATCAGGTTACTGTCATTGTCATTATTCACCCCTCCTTCAATCCCGCCACGTTATGATAGAAGGTCCCATCCAGTTCTCGTGTTAACCGGTGGATGGGTGTTCCTGATCTCGATTGCCTCTCGCAGTTTTCGACGCGTCCGATGTGCCTCCCGGGCGACGACTGCAAGAGCTGAAAATGCACTTTGTCCGCATACGATGGTGGCATGGGGATGCTCGGTGCGGTAGTGATCACCCTAGGGCGTGTCCGTGCCTGTCTGCGTGCCTCGCCGTTATGCTCCTCCAGCCAGGTCTCCATCAAGTGCTCTGCCTCGCCAACGTATGGCCCAGCACACTCCTTGCACTTGATCTGATAGACTATATCTTTCACCCATATATCCTTAGTGTTGAATGCAGACCTCACAAGTGAGTCAGGGGAGAGGGGATAAGTCTCTCAACAAGCGGGCGTGTAAAGGCCCTATAACCCCATAAACCGCATCCTTGTTACCCTCACACCGAGCAAGTGAGTACCCAGTTCACCGTGGGTGTCGGCACAGTTCATTGCATGTAAAGTGGTACTCGCCTGCATCATCGCGATTGAAAGAGCGCTAAACACACTCCCTGTTACCAGCGCAGGTTTTGAACTCGGAACCTCATGATTCGCAGGCAAGCCTAAAAACCAATCGGCTATACGCGTTGACATAATTATAGGGACTGGATTAAAGCGGAATGACGTAATGAATGTTTCAGGCTACCAGTATTCTCATATACTACTCTTGCGGGAATTTTGTATTTTCGTATGGCTTTATTGACGGTATGATGAACCTGATCCGACTTGTAGGGTAGATTCAAAAATACACAAACTGGGTTCGTTCAGCGCCGACACCTGGGCCTGCGGGCTCGTGTGCGTGCTTCGGCAATGATGTGTTCCGGGTAATGAACTAATGATTCAGTCGAAGTTGCTCTGAAATCTTCTGCTCGCTTTCAATGCGCATCTGGGCCTTTGACGAGAGCCCTTTCGCTCTTAGAACTTGGGACGAGGCAACCGCAAGCTTCATAGGGTGTGGTAAGGCAGATGCGTAATCTATGAGCCATCCACTGTTACACGGCTTCTCATACAGTTCTCCGCTCTACTTTTTTACACGGTACCAGCAAAACCACATGCTTGTATAAAATGTACTGCATAATCCACTGGATTGGACAATCCAATTATAAATAACCACAGAGCCTGCATGCATCACTGAAAAGATCACTTACACTTGAAGCTTCCCTCACGGGCATGCCTCTTTCAGTATGAGTGCACGAGGTGAGAAACGTAGGTGCTAGCAAGGCGACAATGACTGAATGTGACCTCACAATATGTTTGGGTTCTGGCATTATATGTCTCACCTACACCTTTGCCGCTTAGCTCGTTGTATTTATTACTCTCTTGGCGCTAGATCATGTTGTTTCGGCGGTAGGATTATGATATAAGACTGCTTTTTTGGCTTGCATGGCATCATTGTTTTATTTGTACCTGAGGAGGACGATATTGCCGAACTGTTGTGCGGTAAGAATTGATTCAGTCCTTTTTTTTGTATTTATATCATTATCTCATGGCACATCATGATGACGGCCAATAAAACTGAGACAAGGGTGAAAGCCAACCACAGCAGTAAAACAGATAAAAGAATACAAATAAGAGGCAAAGAAGGCAAAGGAGGAGACAAACCAGCAGGATATACATGAAACCTATAATTGAGCAGAGATTTTAGCAACAAAATTATCCATCGACGTGCTGGTCTTGGCCTGCGTTGGTAATGTTGCCCAAAACACATAGCCAGCAAAGATCGGGGATCTAGTAAATAGGGTGGAGGCAGCGCGTGGGAGACTGAGTGAGTTCCGGGTGTTCCGTGTTTCGGAGAACCAATTATAAGCCTGCATATGCAAGGGTATTTTATTTAGTAATATTTTATGTATGAGAACACAGAGGTGGTACTTATGTCGAGTGGAAAGGGGACTGATCTTGGCAATTTCGTAAAGACTAGCGGAGGGAAAGCGACGATCTTTGCTAAATAAGATTTTAAGGAGCATGCGGTTATGGGTTTCTAGCTTGTTCAATACAGTAGTAGTTATGCCACACCAAGCAGTATCACAGTAGTCAAGTAAGGGCAATATATAGCAACGATAAAACAAGCGTTTGCAAGAAAGAGGAAGATGTCTACAGTGGGCTTGAAGAGCCCCAAGGATGGAGCTTGTGCGCTTGCAGACATACTGCACATGGGGTGACCACGACAATTTAGAGTCAATAATAACGCCAAGATGCTTATGCTCTTCAACAATGCGAATAGCAACACTTGAAGAAGGAAAACAAAGTGGCAGGGAAGGGGGAGAGGGGGAAATGTACATAGCTGCCGTTTTATCAACGTTTGGCTGCAACTTCCAATCATGCATCCAGGTTATAACTTTCCCAATGCTATCTTGCATGGCTTTGTGCAGGCGTATAGGGCAAGCATTGGAGCAAAGCAGATTTGTGGTGCTTTGGGAATGGGTGTGTCCACCCAACTACTTTCTACATACCTCTCCAGCAACCTGGGTATTTTTGGTCTCAACATGCTCATGAACAATGCCCCTTTATGCTGATGTCTTTACTGTTGTTTTTTACAGATAGCATGGCCAATCCGCCAGATCCGAGTCCACACGCCATCATTCGTAAGTCCAGCTCCAGCCCATACTGCCATAGAGTTTAATTTTAGGTCATTGGAAGGGACATGCTGTTCCAGCCATCAAAGTCTGACCGTTGAAAGAGACATGCTGTTTCCAAGTCCAATTTCCAACTTCAGTTCTATTCAATATTGAAACCGTTGACCCCGGTACCTCTTGCATATCAAATTGTGTATTGTTATGACTGATTGTATGCTAGTGCCTGGCAGGTCTTTCAAGTAATTTGAATCTGGGCGAGATAGATAAGCAGATTTGGACACCGGGCCTGATGAAGTTGTTGACTGCATCTAATATTTAGCCAGTGAATAATGAAAATCTCCTGCTCCTTGGCCGGCGTGATTGGGGCCAAGTCGTCGAAGGAGGTTGCAGTACATCGCTCGCTCCAAAAAATCCGATGATAAAGAGATCTTTCATCGGCAGCAGTGCAGTCATGGTGTGTGTGTGTGTGTGTGTGTGTGTGTTTGTGTGCGTGCGTTTGTACGTGTGCATGTGTGTGTGTGAGTGTGTGTGTGTGCACGTGCATGCTCGCATGCATGTGTTATGTACTTGAGTACGTGTGTTCGTTTTGTAGATGGCGACGCCGTACCCTTACCGTGGTGTTCTATACATTACTATGAGCTGAACAGGCCCGTTGGTCCTGGGGTCTTGGCGAACAGCGCGTGCAGCAGCAAGACCTCCATTGTCGTTGATGGCTCCTTCACAGGTCCTGACCAGCAGCAAGACCGATTCTCACTGGGCCTCCTCTCCAACCCAGATCGTGATACTGATAGCTCCATTGACAGAGCCCGCAAGCACATTGGCAGAGGCATGCGTATGGACTATATTGGTGGTGAAGTGTTTGTCGAATGCCTGAGCGAGGCCAGCCTGTTTGTGCAGTCGCGCAACACCAATGCCATTAATCACGTCCACCCATCTACCGTGTGCAAGCTGACCAAGACACACAACATGAGGGTCTTCAACAACCCACGGTTTGATGCTGATCTGACTGTAGCCGTAGACCAAGGATACGATGCAGTCAACAACCTTGTCTCTCACTGCCATTTCAGAGTGAGCTTTGTCAAGGGCTGGGGCTCAGGGTATCGCCGACAGGAGGTGACAAGTACTCCGTGTTGGATTGAAGTCACTCTGCACAGCCCACTCCAGTGGATCGACAACGTCTTGCTGCAAAATGAAATGCATCCTGACCATCAGCCGCCCAGCTCTACATCCTGAATGCTGCTGCTATCAGGCCGTGCGCTGCTTTGGTGCGTTGCGGGTGGCGGTGTGTGTGTGTGTGCGCGCGCGTGCGTGTGTGTGGGTGCCTGGTTGGTGCGTTCGGGTGACTCTAGAGAGTGGTCAGTGGTGAAGAAGAGTTGTTCCACTGAGGATTAGCAGGCCGACACAGCATTGAGGACCTGGCTGCCAGAGGTAAAACATAACCAAAAACTTGAGTAGTGATCGTAGGCGATCGCATGTGATCTCTTGTCTAGTCTTGCTCGTGCCCCTGTGAGGGGTTTATTACCGGTCTATTTCTTTACGTAGCCAGTAGCGATTGATCAGACCGTTGAAGCAAAGCTGCTGCAGTTTACCACTGGACAGCATGCCCTGCCATTGACATTGTAGAATATTCAGCAACAGCTACAACAACAACGATGGCCATGATGACGACGACTCTCTGTTGTCTGCTGATATTAGGTTTGCCCCAGTCTATTTTCGTATAAAATGTAACCCAATTTCTATGCTGCAACAGTACTTTGAAAACTCACTTGCTAGGTATAGCATTACTATTCGTTGCAGGCTTCTGTCCGTTGGCATAATCAACATTGGCATAATGAAAAGACGATACACTGTACTGTAATTATCGTAGTCTGCTCTCGTCAAAGATTGTATTTTGTTTTGTTTTTTTTGTATTTTGTTTTTGTTTTTTGTTTTTTGTTTGTTTTGTTTTTTTTGTCACATTGCACTTACCTACGGAAGATGGGGAAACAAAACGAAGACAAAAAAAACAAAAACACTGGGCGTGTAGGCGCTACATCACTCATCAGTCTACATGAGCTGCGCTGGTGAGATGCGGTGGACTCCGCCAACCAAGGGTCTCGGGGTACAAAGCAAGCACCATGGGTGGGGGGGGGGGGTGAGAGAGAGAGAGAGAGAGTGTGTGAGAAAGGGTGTGTGAGAGAGAGTGTGAGAGAGAGAGAGTGTGAGAGAGAGTGTGTGGGAGAGTGTGAGAGAGTGTGAGAGAGAGTGTGAGAGAGTGTGAGAGAGAGTGTGAGAGAGAGTGTGAGAGAGAGAGAGAGAGAGAGAGAGAGAGAGAGAGAGAGAGAGAGAGAGAGAGAGAGAGAGAGAGAGAGAGAGAGAGAGTTCTTGGGCATATCGTGGATATGACTAAAATGTAATTTAAAAGAGGGTCACTCAATATCATGATTTGGGTCCACTGATGGAAGGCCAGTGTGATACACTGTGCATGGCTAGCACCAGTCATGAGCAGAGCACCAGTCGCTCTGTTGCAGGTGACGATAGCAATCTTGAAGCTCTGCAGGTGTTTCCGAGCTGGCTGCTTGTCCAGAAGTGCTTGTGGCAATCTATTCCACACTGGTACGATGCAATATGGGAAAGAGCGCAGATGGTAGTCAGGAGCTCATGGCGAGACTCGGATTCAGCTCAAACTGGTGCGGATGGTGCTGTGCTTGGGCTGTCTTTGTGCGATGATGTGGCGGCATGGCCGGCGGGGGGGGGGGGGGGGGGGAGGGAGGCATATGGCGGCAACTTGAGGCAGACCATGGTCACACATCAGTTTATACAGTAGGCAGCAGGGAGTCGTGTATACGACTCCCTGGTAGGCAGAGAGCAGAGACCTTTCGCCGAACAATGCGGCTGGGAAGTATGGTACCAGGGCCAATGGCAAATGACATTTAGAGCGCGGAGCTGGACAGCATCCAGCATGGCCAGGTGTGAGGGAGCTGGTCCCATCCACGCCAGGGGTGCATATTCCAGCATTGGCCGGACGAATCCTTTGCAGACAGTCACCCTGCCTGCGTGGCTGAGGAGGGGTGCTGCCTTCCGCAGGAGGCCCAGCCGCTGCTTAGCACGTGATGCAACTTGCCGAAGGTGGAGTCTGTAGCTAAGTTTAGAATCGAACGTTCTTCTGAGCACCTTGACAGATTCATCTGGTGGGAGAGGAGTTCCGCCGAATGACAGCTGTGGATTCACTGCATCCTTCCGCTAGTGTGTTAGAGTGATGGTTTGCGATTTCGATGGCTCAAACACAATCTTCCATCTCTTGCCCCAGGCATGAAGCTCATCTAGGCTGCGTTGTAGTGAGGCATTCGAGGCTTGGTCAAGGAGGGAATACAAAGTGGTATCATCAGCAAAAAGTGTTCAGGTTTGTGCCATGCGACAAGCAGCTTGAAATGTCGTTTACGTACACGAGGAACAATGTAGGGCCAAGGATACTACCTTGTTGGACGCCAGACTGGACGGGGTGCACCGATGAGCTCTGGCCATGGACAACAGTTTTGATGGTACGACATCGCAGGTCACGTGGGTAAGCCATGCGAGCAGGGAACCCCCTATCCCCAGCTGGTGCGCCTTACGCCAGAATGAGACACTTTGTTAAAAGCCCCCGCTATGTCCACGCGCGGCAGCTGCTTGCATAGCTCCACCTTGTGCCATGGCATTGGCCCACCCATACTGTAGGACAGTCAGGAGGTCTGCAGCTCCGGTGCCACGACGAAAACCGTACTGACGAGTATTCAGCAGACAGTGGCGTTCCAAGAAGTTGGCAAGTTGGGGGTTGACTATACTCTCCATAACTTTCGACAGGATGCTGAGGAGAGACACAGGTCGATAATTCGAAACAATTGACTTGGAGAACTTTTCGAGTGTGTATGGGGGACACATGGACTAGTTTCCAGGAAGCTGGCTGGACCCCTGCTCTGAAGCAGCAAGAGAACAAGCGAGCAGCAGGCTCTGCCAGCTCCCTGTGGTATGGCATTTCTTGAGGACTCTAGCTGATCATGATGCCATCGGGGCCAGTGGCCTTGTGCGGATTCAGCGCCGCTAGTTGACGACGGACATTGGCTGGTCGAAATTGGATGGCTGTGATCTGATGTGCCGAGGCATCAAGATGCATAGTAGGAAGCTGATCAGAGGAAGAGAGATCGTTGGATTGTGAGTCACACACAATGGCAACATTTCCCCTTTTAGCAACACCCTAAACGGTAATGAAATTTGATACATCGGGGTTCCCTGCAACAAGAGTACATAGGGCCTGCCATATACAGCATGTCACAAGGTGGAAGGTCACTGTTTCCCAACACCGTGTCCTCCACTTTGTTACATGCTGTTAACCAACAACATACATACATGTACATGACACATGATTGTAGTTTGTGCATGAAGTGTGTGGGCACAGACTGACAGTAGGGTTGCATCCCACCAGCCTGTGTAGTGTCACGGGAAGCGTGAGTTTTGAAGTCTGAAGAAAATCATGAGTCAAAGACCGACTCTGCTGGGATTACAGTTACGCTAGTTCAGTGGTTAGAGCACTGCTGGTCTCAACTCAAGCCTTGCTTCGAGTCCTGGTGGTGACAGTGGATTTTTTCTTCTGAGATTTTTCCTGTTCTCGGCACCATCAAGTAATGTCCTAATGAAAACAGTAGTAACGAAAACTGTTATGGGTGGTTAGAATTAGAACACCATGGCCGGACTTCAAGCACCTAGGCATACCGTTAGAAATACAGCACTTTCCAGAGGCTATGTGTCATGTGAATGCTTAGAAAGAAGGAATTTCGTTTGTCTCTCGTTTGTCTTTCGTTTGTCTTTCGTTTGTGTTCTCTATTGGTCCTGCAGTGCTACCGCCTGTCCTAGTGCCCCGGTTTTCCGACCGTCTGCCTTCTCATCGGGTGACTGGCTCGGGACCTCAGGCACTCTCCCTACCCAGCAATGACCAGGCACCTGGTGCCTCTCCGGCGCATAATGCACCCGCAGCTTTTGGTGCTCCAGGTATGGCATGATTACTGTAATGTCCCAAGTATTGTAAATCTGAACCAATTCCATTATTTTGTTAAAGGATGGCAATAAGCAGAATCAGCTGACTCATCGTATGATGTCATGTCACGGCTTCCATAATTAAACAACGTTTCGGCACATGGCCATCATCAGGTAACTGATCAATCGGATACTCTGCCAGCTACATGTACATGTACTAAGGATCAGGTTATAAATGTATACAGGGCATTCCGCCGAAACGCTGTAAGTCCTCTCGCTCCAAAGGAGGGAAGAAGTGTCAATGGCAGCCCACACCACAGCACAGGTGAGAAGACCAAGGTGCTGCTATACAGCCAAGATGAAGCCCATGCATACCGAGGCGAGAAGGTCAAACAAGTGTCACATCAGGTAGCATCAAGATGTACATCCATGCAAAGGTGAGAAGACAAATGTGTTACATCAGGTTACTGTCATTGTCATTATTCACCCCTCCTTCAATCCCGCCACGTTATGATAGAAGGTCCCATCCGGTTCTCGTGTTAACCGGTGGGTGGGTGTTCCTGATCTCGATTGCCTCTCGCAGTTTTCGACGCGTCCGATCTGCCTCCCGGGCGACGACTGCAAGAGCTGAAAATGCACTTTGTCCGCATACGATGGTGGCATGGGGATGCTCGGTGCGGTAGTGATCACCCTAGGGCGTGTCCGTGCCTGTCTGCGTGCCTCGCCGTTATGCTCCTCCAGCCAGGTCTCCATCAAGTGCTCTGCCTCGCCAACGTATGGCCCAGCACACTCCTTGCACTTGATCTGATAGACTATATCTTTCACCCATATATCCTTAGTGTTGAATGCAGACCTCACAAGTGAGTCAGGGGAGAGGGGATACGTCTCTCAACAAGCGGGCGTGTAAAGGCCCTATAACCCCATAAACCGCATCCTTGTTACCCTCACACCGAGCAAGTGAGTACCCAGTTCACCGTGGGTGTCGGCACAGTTCATTGCATGTAAAGTGGTACTCGCCTGCATCATCGCGATTGAAAGAGCGCTAAACACACTCCCTGTTACCAGCGCAGGTTTTGAACTCGGAACCTCATGATTCGCAGGCAAGCCTAAAAACCAATCGGCTATACGCGTTGACATAATTATAGGGACTGGATTAAAGCGGAATGACGTAATGAATGTTTCAGGCTACCAGTATTCTCATATACTACTCTTGCGGGAATTTTGTATTTTCGTATGGCTTTATTGACGGTATGATGAACCTGATCCGACTTGTAGGGTAGATTCAAAAATACACAAACTGGGTTCGTTCAGCGCCGACACCTGGGCCTGCGGGCTCGTGTGCGTGCTTCGGCAATGATGTGTTCCGGGTAATGAACTAATGATTCAGTCGAAGTTGCTCTGAAATCTTCTGCTCGCTTTCAATGCGCATCTGGGCCTTTGACGAGAGCCCTTTCGCTCTTAGAACTTGGGACGAGGCAACCGCAAGCTTCATAGGGTGTGGTAAGGCAGATGCGTAATCTATGAGCCATCCACTGTTACACGGCTTCTCATACAGTTCTCCGCTCTACTTTTTTACACGGTACCAGCAAAACCACATGCTTGTATAAAATGTACTGCATAATCCACTGGATTGGACAATCCAATTATAAATAACCACAGAGCCTGCATGCATCACTGAAAAGATCACTTACACTTGAAGCTTCCCTCACGGGCATGCCTCTTTCAGTATGAGTGCACGAGGTGAGAAACGTAGGTGCTAGCAAGGCGACAATGACTGAATGTGACCTCACAATATGTTTGGGTTCTGGCATTATATATCTCACCTACACCTTTGCCGCTTAGCTCGTTGTATTTATTACTCTCTTGGCGCTAGATCATGTTGTTTCGGCGGTAGGATTATGATATAAGACTGCTTTTTTGGCTTGCATGGCATCATTGTTTTATTTGTACCTGAGGAGGACGATATTGCCGAACTGTTGTGCGGTAAGAATTGATTCAGTCCTTTGTGGTGCTTTGGGAATGGGTGTGTCCACCCAACTACTTTCTAC